GCAGCCACATTGTCAAAGACTACCTTGACAGGAGAACCGTGGACGGAAACCACCAGACGAACGTTGGTGGGATTTCCTGGGAGTTTGCGTCAGGTTGCCAAGAACAACAAACTTGTGGCCACATTCTCTGGTTTTAGCTGCAAATCAGCCGCAAACATTTTTTTGTTTGTTTATGGACACCTTTGAAAAGTTAGAATCTGCTCGTAGAACCGGATGTTTTACTTTGAAAACACTGAGTACAGATGTGGATGAAGCTGCACCTTAGATAACGAACCATAAGAGGGATCAAAACAGCTCAGAACACCAGAGATCGTAAAAATAAACGAGACAAATTGAACGTTAAAAATGGGAAAAAAAGGATGAAACTAATTGAAATTAAGTGAATAAAGGTGTTGACAAGATTAATAGACGTACAGGCAGTTTGAACCAGACTTTCTTTTAACTCTAAAGAAACGGACCTTTCAAGTTTCAGCAAACATGTCTCTGATAGTTTTTGCCTCCTTTGGTAAGTCCAACGACATAGAATGAAATCTGATGTCAGAACAAACTGGTGGAACAAATATTATCGTATTAATTTAGTTCAACAAGTCGCCCGAGTTTGTTAAAAGTTTCTAGAACTACTTTATCCTCCAACAACGGTATCAAAACAGAAGTATTATTTTGCTGTCATGGGAAAATGTCTCCCACTATGAAGGGTCAGAATAAAGCAGGAAGTATCGGTGTGTTTTTTTTAAATGTCTCTGTTTGTGGATTCCTTTTTTGGCAAATGTTTGTGAGCGACTGAGGGCGAGAGACAAAGAGAAACCCAGGGAGAGAGAGAGGAGGGAGTTTTCTGGTCGGGCTGGTCGGTCGGCTGCCGGAGCAGGAGTCAAGGGAAAGAATGTCGTCTCATTAAAGCACATTAAAGAGAAAGACGGCGGCCGGGTGTGGGTCACAACATCCACCGGAGCGATATCGGGGCTGTCAGTGGTCAAAGCAAACTCTGGCTTTTCTGATTCTGTGACACGAGGACGGAGACAGAAACTGGGCGAAAAGTAAAGGAGGGAAAAGTGAAGGAGGCCGAAATAGAACGGGAGGTATGAGGAAAGGCCGGAGAAAGGAAAGTTAAAAACCAGAGGGAAAGAAACACAGAGCAGGGAAACGTCTGCTATAAGGAACATAATAAGAACATTTTAACCACCGACTGCTGCAGGAAACCTTCATGATGTCACTGGATCGAATCGATCAGCGTCACAGAGCTCAGAGAGCAAAGATCAAGAACCAGGTGTACCACTGATGATGACAATAAAAATAAAAATAATATGCAAAAACATTCTTTAAAAAAAGAGGTAATTTATATATTACAAATATATTTTTTAAAAAATACAAAAAAATGAAAGAACATTTAAAAAATGAAACTAGACATGTAAAAAAAAAAGCAAAAAAATATATATTTTTAAAAAATACACACATAAGAAAAGAATGTGTAATTTATTTAACGAAAATACACAAAAAAATAAATGTAAAAATAAATTAAATTGGATTACTCAGTTTTACATCAAATATTCCAAATATAAATATTGGATAATGCACTGATATAAAAATTTAAATGATAGAAATAAAATTAAAAGCACCATTTACTAATAACATATTAAAAATGCAAAAAAAGGAATAAAAATAACAAATAATATAAAATATTTTAAATTGTGCAAATAATATTTATTTAAAAAAAAAAATTAAAAATCACACAATTAAAAAAATGTCTATTTCTTTATAATGCTAATAAATAAATAAAAATACAAAAAAAAAAAGAAAGGAAATGAACTAAATAAAATTTTAGTTAACGGAAAGAAATAAAACTAATTTTAAAAACGACATATATGTACATAATATACTTTCTGTTACCTCCAAAACTGTCAAACATCTGGTCCACAAAAAGAATTACTGAAGAGTTAGAAGAACATGCAGAGAGTGGAATAAAAAAGATAAACAGAATGAAAAGATAAACAGACAATGGACGTGATAAACACAAAGAGACGGAGAAAGTGAGGACGAACAAAAGGCAGATAAAAGCAATTAGAGCAGAAGAAGGAAGATGGAATGAAAGATAAAGGAGGAGGAGAGTCGGGCGGCAAAGAGCCGTCGGCGGGGAGCTGGAGATGCTAACAGATGGGTTACAGCATTCCTCAGCTCACAAAACACTTCCACATGCATGAGCGGCTGCTGGGAGCTGCAGCAGTCGGTGACGTTTCACATGCAGAGGAAGAGCAGCTGCAGCAGCAGCTTCTGAGGCTGAAGCAGGACGATCTGCTGCTCTGGAGTTTTCTCATGTAGACACAGAGCATGAAGGAAAACAGAAATAGAAACAGATCGTGTTTAGATGTACGTGTGAAGCAGCAGATAGCATCAGTCGCTGCTCTTTGTGACGAGCTGACCAGATAAAAACGAAGCACTTTTATCTCCATGTTGGTGGAGATTCTCACTCGTCCAGGAGGTTCAGGAAAACCCAACCGGACTTCTGGTTTTGACTCAAACAGAGGCTGTGAGGATGTTCTGACCCTCCATCTGGTGTCAGCGTGATTTAATGATCTCGACTTTCAAGCTCTTATCTTGGTCATTAAAATAACTGTAGCCAGACCTGCTCTGGTCTGTTCCCATCTTTCATCGCTTGATTTGATCAAACTTGCAGATTTTTTACGACGTCTTTATACCAAAGAACAACAGCAGCAGTACGTATTGTGAAATTTAAGCTGGTTTGTTTTTTTATATTCTTGCAGAGGAGACTGTTTGGAGTCAGCTGATAAAAACCTGCTTCTGGAGCTTCTTCTGCAGCAGCTCGTCACTAACTTCATCTGTTTAACGGATTTGTCCTAAAAAAGCAACAGCTGGAAACAATCAGAACCAGAAATATGGAGGAAAACCAAGACAAGAAGCTCAAATCTCTCTTGTCGCTCTGATTTCTGCAGCTTTAAGATCTGCCTGATCAGCGACACATCACTGGACACGACGCTTCCAAGTGAAATCCAGATTAATGCAACTTGTTTGTGCCTCCAGAGGATCCGAACCAGCGCCGGGTTCTGTTCTGAGCCAATAAAGCGGCGGTGCAGCTCCACGTGGAGCCGGCGTCGGTCCGGCCCACGCCCAGCTCACATACAGATAACATCTCTTCCTGATTTCTTATCGCGGTGCAGAGTACAGCGGGACTCGCCCTTCTGCCTGAACACACTCTGAGAAAACACCAAACAGCAGATTCATCAGGATGAATAACGAAGATTCATCATCAGGAGCTGCCACATGTTCGGTCTTGCACAGATTTGAGTTGGCGTCTCTGTAAAGTGAACATAATGGAGTCTGGAAACAATGAGGAGCAGTTACGCTCCAACGGGGCTTCACAGCTTCACGTTGGTGTGTTAAACTTCCTGTTTTATCAGATTATTCCTACAATGTTCCTGATAATGTTCCAAAATAAGCATGTGGATATATGTGGCTGTCTGGAAACAATAACAAACAGCAACAGCTGCACTTCTACTGTGCTTTACAGGCTTTAGTTTTAATTGAATTTATACCAAAAACTATGTTTTGTCACATTATTCCTGTAATAATCCAAAAAGTTTCCACAGTGCTGTCTGGAAACAATAAGACGCAGCAACAATCACACTTTAAGAGGCTTTACAGCTTCAAGTTTTCATTAAACTTACACCACAAACCCCATTTTATTATGTTGTTTTGGAATAATTTATGAAATATTACAGGAACAAGTTTGTGGAAACAAGTGTCTGATAAGAAACAGCAACAGGTGCATCTTTAAGGAGCTTTAAGTTTTAACAGAATTACACCAAAAATTACATTTTTTTCACATTATTCCTTTGATATTCCTCATAATACTCTAAAATAAGTTTCTAGAAGTAGCCATGTGGCTAAAAGTATGCGGACACACACGCTGGGTGATTTTTTTTCGCCTCATCTTCCCTCAAACTGCCCCAAAGGAAACACATTTAACCCACATTTCATTCCAAACTGCATCGAACGCTTCAACACCAGCTGAAAGTCTTTAAGGGGGAGAAAAAAAGACTTTCCACAGTTTTACAGTTTATCCTAAAAGTGATAAACGACCGAGTTGTTCCACACTGAAGTGAAACATGTGGCCACAGAATTTAAAAACAACAGCTTCTAAAATCACTTCCTGTTGCTTTCATATTAGTTTTGGCCACTTGGTACGAATGCAGCTTCATTAACTTCATTAAAGCAGCAGACTGATGATGTGATTCTACATTAATACAAAGTGCAGCACGTGGAGGACACCCTCAGCAAACAGTGGCTTCAAAACATCCCAGAGTGACTCCAGACAAACCCGATGGTTCTGATTTCTTCACTATTTCTGAAAAACATTCCCTCAATCTGCACTTTCATCACCGAGATCCGAAGTCCAGCCTCAAGCTGATTGTGTCATTACATAACAGAGTCACACAGGGAGGCAGACTGCAGCTTAATTAGGAAACGTTGTAGTTAATAAAGATACAGTTACTGATAATTAAACCTGACTGGTGTTAACTGGTAACTAGTTCTGTCTGCAGCAGACCAGGTGTGGCCAACTTTACTGTACAGCTGATTAATCTGCAGATTATTGTCATGTTTTATAGCAGCTTCCATCAGAGTGAGTTCCACACTGGATCAGTTGATAACAAACTTCAGATAACTGTGATAAAACATCCAGACTGACTTGATCTCACTGTGTCTGTCTGTGTCTCCGTTTGCCAACAAAATCCAAAACTTTCTCAGTTTCTGATCCTGTTTGAAAGTTTCGAGCTAAAGTTTCCCTGCAGCTGCTGTCCTTCTAAAAACAAAACAACAACAACAAAAAACTTGACTAAAAAGTCGCTTTCCAGCTCCAGGAAACGTCCCTGAACTCTCTACAGTCAGTGAAAGCAGCGCAGGTCACATTTCTGACCCGGAATCAGGAGCGAGAAACTCCCCGGAGTTAAAATCCAAGCGGCTCTCCAGGTAAATCATCAGCCTCTTACCTGTTGGCGTCCTCTGCGCTGTTCTGCTGCCGACTGACAGGCTGCCGCTTCTGTCTGACAGGAGTTTGCCTCGTGGGTGTGTCCGGCTACACCTGCCACACACCGGAACCGTGCGTAACGGTGCGTAATGACGCACGCGGCGCGGAGAAAGTTTTAGCGGGCGTGCGAACCGCGTCTCGGTGGCAGCGCTTCTGGAAGCTCTGCCGCTTCTGTTTCTCACCATCGGGCAGCTATTGTAGCGATTTCAGGAATGTTCTCTGCGCTGGAGGCGTTTCTGGTTTCCGTGGTTTCCCTCTGAAGCCGCCGCTGGTCTGATGTGAGAAACGGAATTCAGTGTAAATACAGAAAAAAAGCAAAACAAACAGCAGAAATGTGTCCATAAATGGAATAAATCAAAGCATTCTGAACATTTTATCAGAATAAAGCAAAAAGCTGACATTTTACTGTATTGTTCCCACATTTAGCTGAAACTTACTGAGCCTTAGTTAATTAATTTATTTTATTGTGTGTGTGTGTGTGTGTGTGTGTGTGTGTGTGTGTGTGTGTGTGTTCTAAAAATGTTCTGAGAAAGTTCTGTGAAGGTCTATTACTGGTTTCAGAGGGAGGTTTTCTTTTAGTTGCCAGAATGTTCTTAAAAGGCAGGAAGCAAAAATATTTGTGAAATTTTAGCCTGACACAGCAAATATTTGCCCTTTGACCCACATTTAGCAGCATTTTCACATTGAAATGTGAGGCTGGTTGAGCAACAATATCTGAGGAACTATTAAAGATAAAAACCTGAAAGTTTCTCTGTTATTTCTCATCATGTCACTGAAGCAGAATCTGTAAAACTGGACATGTGGATCAGATGATCTCTGATTACAGTTGAGCTGAAATATGAAAAAAAAAAACCTGAAGCCGTCATGAGAAGTTCCATCTTTGAGCTCATATTAACAAAAAACAATAATCAGAAGTCAACTAGTGATATTTTCTGAACCACATGTAGCTGCAGGTCACAGTAATACAAAACTAAACATGTAGAATAGTTTAATGTGAAATACTTGGTCCAAGTTATCGGCTCAAAAATGTGAGTTTTCATGACGACTTTATTTTATTTCTTTATATTTCAACTCCCCCATAAATCAGAGATCAGTTGAACTACTTGACCGATATTCCAGATTCTGGATCAGTGACATGATGAAAAACAAGAGAGAAACTTTCAGGTTTTAATCTTTAATAGTTCCTCAGATGTTGTCGTTCAATCAGCCTCAGACTTTAATGAGCTGAAAGTGGGTCAATGATCTTTTTCTTTTAAATTATTTTGGAAACTATTTGATATATGACGCTCAAATTTCACAAATATCTTCATAATCATCCATATTTTATGCCAGAACACTTTCGGGTAACTAATAAATGGATTTAAGCAGAAATTGTTCAGAAGAATGTGATGATCTGAGATGGATCCATGATGAGCAAAGGTTGCTGTAAAATCTGATCCAGTAAACTTTGATCGTGTGAAAAGCCTCCGACTGTAACTTTTACTGGCCTGAACACTGAACTCTGCAGTAAAGTGTCGAGGACGGCCTGTTGGTTAAACAGCGGCCGGTTGCTATAGGTGTCCGAGCTGCTTTGTGTTGAGCAACGCTGGAACAACGCTGGAACAACGCCTCACATTCCTGTGAGCTGCTACACGCCCAGCAGCAGCAGCAGCAGCAGCTCAGCGTGGACGCCACACACGTACAAGCGGCGCTGAGTAATCCTGCATTCATGCTCGTAAAGTCAGCAATTTGCTGTGACAACCTCGAATGAATGTTGTCTGAATGTTCTGGTTGGTGTGACCGTCTGAGGCAGGTGAGACTCACCTGAGGACGGTTTTAGGGAGTCTTAGTCCGGACTGATTGCAGCGTGGCACGTGTCGCTTTATCATGTGCAAACCACAGCACACGCCTGCTCAAGAGCCAGATAGGCCACACTTCAGAGAGGCTTCAGAGCTCCTGTGGACATTTGGACCAATTGTTGTTAAAATCTAATCAACATAAATCCAATCAGTCTTCGTTAGACGAGTGTTTGTCCTCAGATATGATGGAAACAATCAGCGGATGTGTTTTCAAAACACATTTTCCAAAGCTGATAAACCCTTTTAGCCACTTTTAAAGTTCAATCTCCAAACGTTGCCAACAATCCAGCTTCTCTAATGTTCTCTGTTTTGCTTTTGGACTCCTGTGATGGACATTTTGTTGAGTAAATAATCACTAAATACAATAATAGAAATAACAAATGACAAAATTTTGAAGTTCTAATTAAAAAAAAGCATGATGCCGGAGTATCCGAAAGTATCAAACTGTTGGATAAAATTCACTTTCTCGCTAAACTAAAAAAGAAAAGTGAAAGTCAAAGAATCTTTTCGTTTCCACACATGAGTCCATAAAAACAGAGCCTACATTTCCCATGAAGCTAATCGATAGCATGTTTTGCTAAACTCTCTCCAGTCTGACCTCCTGGATGTTAGGTATAAGTCTGCATTTCCTCCATTAGCTACAAGCTACTGGTTCCAAATCCACCTCTTTATTTGAAACAACAACTAAAGACCAATGACAACACAAGTCTTACATTTAGCTTATTTCCGTAGTGAATCTGATTTTACTACAGATGCAGACAGCTTTCTCAGTGAAGCCCATCTCACGTGACTCTTCTGTCATCAGGTGGAGTTGATCTGACGTGTCGTCTTCCTTCTGGCAGCAGAATCCACCAGTGACTGGACCAGTGACTGGACCAGTGACTGGACCAGTGAGTGAACCATGCATTCCAGCTCTGTCATATCGGTTTAATAGATTTCTGCAAAAGCCAGCAAATCATCTGCAGCATTAATGAGTCCATCGAGCACCTGCAGCGCTAAAGGCGTCACCTCTGATTACCAAATTATTCTGTTCTTGTGGTGTTTTTTTGGAGGGAATCTGCCTTTTTCTTCCCCCCACATGCAAATGTTCCTCGAAAAACAAGTTCCCTCCTTTCAGACCGTCCTGCAGGGACACCGTCGCTGCATTTTTGGGACCAACACCCGAAGCGATTGTGATTCGTTTAAAGAAATGCAAACAAACCGGCGCATTTTTTCCTCTATTATGATAATGGGTGCAGTCGTTCTCCGACGTGAAAATACGCTCGTCTTTCAGAATGTTTGTAATCCGGCGAGACTGACAAAAATTTAGACGCTTAATCTGAGATAACCCTGATTACATCAGCAGGATTATTTTCTCAGACTTTATAAATCTCCTTTCAGCGCCACAGAACGTGTTGTTCGGCTTTTCACAGGTGTGACGCGAAGAAAGTTGTGTTTCAGCTTTTAAGCTTTAAAGAAAGTAAAACTGACAAAAAAACTGAAGTCAGACTTTAGTTAAGGTCATAATCCAGCTTTCCAATATCGTTATTGTCCTTTACTTTTTTCAGAATGACATTATTTCTGTATTTTATTTATCAGAAATGTGTAATTTTTGTAGGACCACAAAACTCTCCAGGTAGTTAAATGAAAAGCTAAATTATGGAAATTTTTTCACCTGTAATGTAATCTACGCAGGTGCTCCAGCATCTCAGGAATAACATTTGTTTTATCGCATAAATAAAACAGCAACAAAATCCAATCATAACAGATAAAAACGTTAATTCTTGCTTTAAAAAAACTAGCTAGCCAAGCTTTTACGCCTCTGAGATCACCAACACATACAGAAAAATGTCTGACTTTACCTTACAATCACTGATTTCTTTTTGCGTAATATTTCTCAAAAAAAATCTTTAAATTCAGTTTGTTAAATAAGAACGTATCCTAATAAAAAGTCTGTATAAAGTCATATAGAGCAAAATGCTGCTCTGCTAGTGTCTGTTTACCACCAAAGAAGAACTAACTGGAAATATCTGTAAAAATATTTAACATATTTAATGAAAAAGAATAAACATTTCTCTATTTTAATTTTACTTATTTTGTTTTATTTTTATTTTTCTAGTTGATATGATCTTGATCTGAGATTAGCATTAGCATCTAAGCTGATAAAAGCTAGGCTAATTTGGTGCTGTGAAACAATAAATACACTATTTTTAATTCTAGTTGAAATTCGACAGTTTCCAATCATATTTTAATGCCATAATATCATTTGATAGCACGTTATAGGATTGAGTTTTAATGTGGAATGGGTCGATCTCTCCAACCTTAAGGGGATTTTAATGGTGGAAAATGGAATGTTAGGATGAATTTCATCCTGTAAACTTCTGTTTTGAAGCCACCCAGCGGAGGCTTGTGTTCAGTGTGTGGAGTCACCTGGCTGCTCAGGGTGCGACTGCAGTTCAAAGCAACATGCTGCTGAGGGGAGCGTCCCTGTGAGGCAACCTTTACTCACTCTGAGAACTCACGCCGCTGCAAAATAACTTACGTAAGACCGTACAGGTGATCCTCAGCTATGCAGCTACAGTTAAACAATAAGTCAGCATTATTCTCAGAACTGGTTGATTTAAGAATTACATTTATAATTGAATTTCCCTTCTGGGATAAATAAAGTATTTTTCATTCATTTCATTTCATGTCATTGTCTCTCTTTGTCGACCCCCTTTTTTTTTATGGTGAATAATAAAGAAAATCAACACAACCTTTCATTCTGTTTTCTTGTGTCAATAAACACCTTTAAGTATGTAAAGCAGCAACGTCGTAGTTCTTGATTCTCCAGGTAAGAAGGGTGGAAAAAAGTACACTTTATCGTAAATATCTTTAAAAATTTACCTTCTACAAACCTTTTTGATTTCTCACGTGGATGTAAGAAGCAACCACAAGAATCTACAGCTTCTATGAGGTTAGCTAAATGCTAACATCGGCTCACTAAACCACTCAGTGATAACGCTGGCATGTATACGCACCACAAATCACCCACAACATAAAAAGTGCTGACAGGTGAAGTGACTAATATGAATTGTTTCGTCAAGGGCTGGGAAACGTCAGACAGCGAGTGAGTCACTTCTCAAAGTCGATGTGATGAAATCAGGAAAACGAGGCAGCGTGGAGGATAGACTATAAGCTATATAAATGTCTCAAAAATGGAAGAGACAGAATAGAAAGGCATTAGGACACACAATGTATTGGATACGGAGCCAAAATGCTTCTGACCAATCAGAGTGTCCATACTGACGTCTGTCCACCACCAGGAGCACCGAGAACGGACATGTGAGGGTCAGAAATGGTTTTCTTTTTAATCATGTAGACGTCATGTGGCAGCGTGATGCACTGACAGCTAGCGGGTGGAGTCGGTGTGATGCTCTGAGGAACGTTCTGGGTCCTGGTGATCATATGGATGGAACTTTGACATGTACCACCAACCTAAAGACAGTTGCGGACCATGTACGAGGGTTCCTAAGAAGCAGAAGCAGCTAAATGTGGCTTTGAACTGTTGCTTCATGAACCTTACTCAGCCAACCTTCACTGTCTGACTTCTGTTTGTTTCCAAACTCAAATCCCACTTGCACCATTTTTAATGATAACGAGCCGTGCAGGCTGCTGAGGAGGATCTGGAGGCTCAAGATGTGACCTTCTTCCATGAAACGGGTCGCGAAGCTTAAACATCAGTGGAACAAGTGCACTGAAGTTAAAGATGTTGAAAAAATAATGCAAAAACAATCTTTCTTCTGGGATGTTCTTTGCGTTTTTAGAGGTACCCTCATTTACCCCTTAATGACAGCCGTATTCCCAGATGGGGATGCTTCCTGCCACGCTAGTCACATTGTTCAGGAATGATTTGAGGAACATGACAAATAGTTTAAGGTGCTGAATCAGCCTCCGAATTCCCCACATCTAAATCTGACTAAGCAACTGTGGAATGTGCTCCAACGACTACCTATGGAGGTCCACCTTCACAACTTAGAGGAACTTTCAAAGAACACCTTCAGAAGTCTGTGAAGTCCAGGTCTCAGTGGGTCGGAGATGTTTTGGCAGCACAAAGGGACCTATGCAATGTTCGGCAGGTGGTTTTATTGTTGTGGCCAATGTTTGCAATGTCGTCCTTGCTGGCTAGCATGTAAGGATGTCATAGCAAGTATGGGCACAAACCAAAGTTCTGAAAGTCTGACTAGATGACGGTGCTAGACGAAAGTCAGGAGATCAAGAGATATTTCAGCTCATCTGCAGATTCAATGCATGCATAAAATGTCACAACAAACCATCCAATACCTTCAAGCCAACAGATTAACAGAAAGAACTGAGAAGTCAACCTCATGGTGGTGCTAGATGTAAAGTCAAGTGATAATCAACGTCATTGGTATGCAAGGCCAAAGGAACCATGAATATTGATGCCAAACTTCATGCCAATCCATCAGAGAGGTTGTGAAATATAAAGGCATGAGTCAAAACTCTGATGTGCTGCTGAAGTGAAAGAAAAGTTGGTAAGATTTATCCTCTGGGAGTCACAAACGTCTGCTCGAAATTTCCCAGCAATCCATCAAATAGTTGTGAAGTTATTAGCCTGCACCAAAACGGTGGTCCGACAGATTATCATGACTCAATTCAAACCTCTCAGGAGGGATTTTCTGCCTTCATCCTTTATTTAACCAGGTGGCTCAGATGAAAACAGATTTCTCAGGAATGAGGTGAGAACTAAAAGACATAATCCTAAGACCAACATGTAGACTTACAAAATGCTCTATTCAGTACCGGACGGAGACAAAGAGGGGAGTGTGACCTGAAAGCAGGAGGATCGGGGGGAAATTTGTTCTGGGTTTATTCTTATCTGACCGTTGGTAGAACACTGTGAGCAGACACAAAGTGTTGCTAAAGGTCACAGAGATAAAGCCGATACATTAGTTTTATGGCATTAATAACAAAGGTGCAGGTGGTTCTTACTGATATCACAAAGACTACTGAATGAAATGCCTCTGACTTTACTACAGCGACTAGTACTGCTGTTATTCTAGTACCAACAAGAGCCTTGATATTCTCTTTAAAACAGCTTACAACAACCTGTAAAGTCTGATGAGAGGCAGGACATTACATGACATCCTCATAAGTGAAGCACATCCCTGTAGACACTTGGGGAGGTGGATGGACGTACCAAAGAGTTTAATTGCAGCACCTGAGATCAACAATCAGCAGTCAACATGTTGTTTCCTTGTTTCCTAAACCCACGACTGAGATCTTTCCCAAAGTACATTCATCTGCCTGCACTCCATCCAAGTTCCTACATCCTAACAGCAGCAGCTTATCCTATCATCAGTCACTTGTCAGTGCCAAATCCAGAATGAGTCACCTACAGTTATGCCAAAGCATTATCTGGAGGAAAAAAAACCCCAAATGCAGACACCTACACAGGGCAGGAAAAAGTGAATCCAGGTCGATCTACCTTATTTAGCAGAACTCCAACCAGATGCTCTCAGATGTTCTGAGATCCAGACACAAAAGCAGAGGAGATGGAGCCTTTAGCTAAACTCTGGAGCAGTTTATCTTTACTTCTACTGAGACTTTAGAAACCTTTATATTCTTGCTGAAAACCCATTTCTTCTTGTTGGCATTCGATTCTTGACCTGATTAGTTAATCTCTTGTAGCTTTGTA